GAGGAGGGAAGGCCGGAGGGAGGGCCGGAGAGTGACCGGTGACCAGTGACCAGTGACCAAGGCCCCCCTGAGACGGAAGGCTGCAGAGCCCTGCTCCAAAGGGAGTCCGGCATGGGGAGGGGGACTCTTCCCGGACAGAAGGGACGTTCCAAAAGAGAGCCCCCAGCCCCTTTGAAGAAGCCAAGCCAAGCCCCAGAGCGATCCCAAGCCGAGCCGAGAGCGGACCCAGGTCTGGCTTCCCGAAGGCTTTCTTGGCAAGCTCTGTTCAGAGGAGGTTCGCCTTGGCCTTCCCCTGAGGCTGAGACAGTGTGACTCCTTGCCAAGGCCGAGCTCTCCAGAGTCAGACCACTCGGCCACGCGGGGACCAAGGTATCCATACTCCATGGAGGAATGCAGGCCTCCGAGGAGAATCTGGAGCCCTCCGGAGCGACATTGGGTCCTGCCAGGCCCACTGGACCCAAAATTGCCCTTCTTGGGCCACTGGACAGGTGGCCAGAGTCTAGAACCCAGTCTGGACATCGGAACCCATTCCAGAATCTAGAACACCCTCAATCTGCAGATCTTTTTGGAACTTGGAAAATGGAAAAAAACAAAAACCCACCCTTTTCAAAGTGCCTCTCCTGCACTCCAAGGCTGGTCTGAGGTTTTTGGACCTGGAACCAACCCAGGATTTGCTCCTAATGTCATCCTTTTTCCCCTCTTTGGTGCAAACTGGCAGAGAAAGCGCTCAAGAGAAGGCTTCATAATAGATAAGTATGCATCTGTCAGGGGAGGAAAAAACTACTACCAACTACTACGTTTAATTAAGTTATAAAACTTCCTTTTATTCTGACAATTTGGTTCATCTACTTTAAAAAAAAGCGCACATACACACACACACACACCATTTTGCTTTTTCAGGTGGAGCATTGTGACACACTGCCTTCATTACCCAGGCTTTCATCTCTGGATGGGAAGAGAGAGAGAAAAACCTGAATATTAATTCCCCTCCAGGGAAAAAAACAGAAGCCACAGGCAGAATAATAAAATATTATGGCCCTACAGCCACAAAAAGGGCCACTTTCTCTTGCATTTCCATATGGCAAGAGAAAGCAATGTAGGATCTTAAGAGAGACCCAGGAACATCCTCTCTTTTGCAAAGGTGCCTTCTCCAGATGGTTTTTAAACTGTACATTTTAAATGATGCATTTTAGATATGGATTGATTTAATCTGTGCGCATCTTATCTGTCCTTTTAACCTGATGTGTGTTTTAGCTAATGTGTTTTAAGTGATGTTATTGTTTGCTAATTGCTCTTGTCCCCCACCTTGATCCATGGGGAGAGGCAGGTAAGAAATAATAATAATAATAATAATAATAATAATAACAATAATAATAATAATAGCTTGAATCCATTGCTCCCTGTCCTAGTATCTGGAGGAACAGAAGACAAGTAGGAGAGCTAGATCTCCCTTGAGTTTGCAGGGCAAGTGGTGACCAGGGATGACTTTTGGAGGTTTCTCATTCACGGGATTGCCATAAATCAAAGTCAATTTGACAGCAAGGAAGAAAAGATCAAAATTAATAAATAGGGCCTATGCTACACAGAAGGAGTGGTATTCTTGGTCTTTGTTTTTCTCATATCTGTGAATAGACAGCTCCTTCATCAGTCACCTATGAATAATAATAATAAATAAATAAATAAATAAATAAATAATAAAATTTATTTGTATCCCGCTTATTGAAAAAACAATCCAAGCGGCTTACGTAAAAAAAACACCCATACAATATAAGCCCAAAGATCAACCCACCCCCCTCCATTTGCTTTCCTTCAGGCAGCGCAGCCTCATGGGCGGCATGAGCATCCCGCTTATTCCCCGCATCTGCCTCTCTCCAAAACACCAGAGGAAAGCACCTGAGAAGGAAAGGCAATTTCCATCAACATTAATTTGGCTCAGCCGAAACGCTTAAGGAAATCATCTCCGCGCAGAAGGTTTTGCTGGAAATAAGTTGTTATTCCTCTTATTGCCCAGAGAAGTTTGCATCGTTGCAATAATAATATGAGGCTTGATTTAGGTTGCATTTCTTTTACTGAGATGTTGCCTTTGGGGGGAGAGTGCAAGAGGATTTCCTTTAATCAAAAAGCAATTGCCGCTTTCAGTCAGGATGCAAGAAGAAGACACAAGGCTCTGCCACTTCCACTTTCTGCCAAAAACATCTGAGGCCTTTGGATGGCAAATACTGGATGCTCTCAACAGGGATACTCCGTTGGTGCTTTGCTCTTTGGGCCAGACTTTTAGCTCAGGGGAAAGCATGGCCCTTGAAGGCTTTGGGTTTGGAGACATCA